ATAGGTTTTACTCCCAAATATACCAAAGTATAGCTCCAGAATGGTGTTGTCCTGAAACAACCACCATCTGTATTGATCCAACTTTCTTATAACAAGTGGACGAGGTTGGAAAATATGTCTCAAATAGTTTAATCATAATGGTCTCATATTGTGAAACTGCATTAACTCGTTGGAATCCCATAGTCATGATGAATCCCCTAAAAGTTCCAAGAACATATTGCTGATGAGTTTCCAATTAATGGGGGATAATATCACGCATGAAATGATCATTACTTTTACTAGAGAATAATGTAGAAATTTGTCTTTCATTCTTTCATATATAAATAATATCTACCGTATACTTACATGCGTTTGGAATGAATTCACCTGTCTTTCTATCCTGATAAGTATAAAATGTTCTATGGATTGATATTTATTTCAAATATCCAGTTTAATTGATTATTGATTTTTACAAAACTGGGAAATCGAAAATCAACTCGGATTGCAATCGCTTTGTTTAGTTTTGATAAAAATATCAAAAGAGTATACCATGAACGACTTCGTTCAAATATATATATATATATATATCCGACTCTTTATTCACTCTTGAATGCTGTTAGAGGTGTGAGGGCGGCTATCACTTTCCGGTCTGTGCGCTGTCCAGCTAAACGGAACAGTAACGACTCGGAAAGATACGGACACTCGTCGTTGCCTCTTCGTCATCTCTGCCTATTCTCCCACTGACTGCAGCTCAGATGATGTTAAAGATGAGTTTTACAGAAAGCAATCCGACTTTCTCCGAAAAGCTAGGCGCTCTGATGTAGCAATAGTGTCTCGTCACTTTATGCCAAATTTGCTGAACTAAGCGAAATGGAGAGACACCTGGGTGGATGTTATGGTGTTACTGCACAGAGAACAGATAACGGCGACCGTCTGTTGCAAGCAGCTACGCTCAAATAAGCACTTGTTTCTTGCAAATATTAACTTTAAGCATAAGGAAAAACATGTTTTGACACGGCAACCCCCCCCCAAATCATGCTAACGTTTGACCGAACTAAATCACATCGCTATCAGCCATCGATGCAGAGGCTGGATAGAAGACTGACGCTTGTTGTGGAGCACATGCTTGGATTCACGTGATGCTCTAGTACGAGCACGTATTTGTATGCGTCTTACTGGACGTAGGAAAGATGCTGCAAGAAAGCCTGTTAGGGTTGTACTTAGTGATGATAGCCAAGCTGAGTATATATTTGAGGAACAACTAGGAATACACTGATCAGCATACATCAGAGTAGTAGCATACTGTGAGACCATGTTGTCTGTGAATGTGACTAGGTAAGGCAGTGCCACTGGTCGGTGTTGTGCATTGCACCAAGTGTTCAAGTGACACGAAACGCTGTGAGAATGTGCAGAGTGTCACTTGTTGGTTATGTTGTGCCTCGAGTGATTGTGAACAACTCTGATGTGGTTGGGACTCGATCCGGCGCCCATTAACACTGCAGGACAGATCCAACGCCTTAGACCACTCGACCACAAGAAAAATGATAGGAAATGCACAAAACTTATTCATCAGTATCAACATTTTTTTTACTTTAACCTCCATTTATCCCACTCATATCCATCTTCATCCTACATCTATTTACACTGTTATTTTTTCCACTGACCCTGCTCACGCTCATTTATCAACCGTTTTCTCTAGTTAAAGCATTCGAGGTGACTGAATGTTCTTTCGTTTCCATACCAATCATTGTTTGTTCTCGTCTTCTTTTCTTTAATCTCAACTTTCTTCCTCTAGGTCTTTGCTATTTTACGAACAGCAACAGGCGTAGGTTTGTCAGCAGACTTCATCGGAATGGTATATTTAAGTGATTCAAAGCTAGCTACAGCAATTTTCATGTTCAAGCTAATGTCATACTGTCTCGATTTAAGGATCATGTCTCTTAGCCATATTCTCTTATAGACCTAAGAGGGGATTCTGAGACAATCAACATTACCATACATATTTCTAGTGCCATCGGTTTGGTTTTGAATTTGTGTGGTTTAAATAATCAAGTAATCAAGTTATGCTTTCGGTTGTACTCTCATTTACTAGATTTAAAGAGCTTTAAATTCAAATCACATTTAATTTTTACCTCTAATCCCTTCATGTCTATCAACTAGTACAGCGGAGTCGGAAAACGGTCCAAAGTTACAACGAGTTGCTGCCTCAACTAAGAATTCCAAAACTTCCACTAGTAGTATAAAAACACATGCAAAATCGTCAGGCGTTCGTGGCAGGAAATCGATTTCGTCTGGTGAGGTAGCAAATCGCAAACGCCAGGAATTCAATGAACTTGTTGAAGCCCGCACTGAGAAGCTTATGTCCGATGGTCCCATTGTAAATGCAAGTATTTTATTTTTACTCCACATTCATAATTTCTCATTGATAACGCTTTCTTGCACCGCAATGTTCTGCCCTTATAATTACTTTTACACTTACTTCACACTTTCGAATTTCGTTGATATAAAGTGTTGCCTTGCTGTCCTAGGTTATGCGTCAGTTCAGTCATTTTGTTGTTTCGAAAGTTCCCTATTATATTAAGCAACAACATTTTCATTTTCACATCTCTATTAAAACTATTATTCATAAACATATGTGGTGATTATGTTCACGAGAATAATACGGTGACTTTCACTTGTTATGTTTCCGTAATTCATTATGAGTGGTGCACGGGTAAAATCCTGAATAGTAAATGAAATGTACCCAGGTGATAGATACTCCTGTGACCGAAATATTGATGTAGCTGATCAATAAGTTGATATGAAAAACCAAGACAACTGCCCACTAGAAGAGATATTTTTAAAAAAATAAAATAACACGTTGATGTACAAAGTATTGCCAGAAAAATAAGTATAATTCAATACTATAGACGAGTAGAGTAAATCCATTTTGAAGGTGTTTAACTCTACAACGTATATAAGACCTTCCCTATCATATCAATACTCTACAGAAATACACCTTACTCTTACATCTTTTCAACTTCTCTGCAAATCAACTTTTCATCATGATTGATGTAGTGTTATCTGGTTTACTAAATATTATATTATGATTAGAAACAATCTGTAATCTTCATCAATCTTCTTCTATTAAACAACATAAATTCTTTCAGTATTTCCCCTCATTTTTAACCGAAATGATTCATCAAAACTATAACCACAACTATCGTAATACTTTTTCATTAATAATTAAATATTCATTTTATATTAAAAATGTACTGTATTCAGATTCAACGGAAATGTTTATTTACCACATTCATAGTCTTTTTAATGACACAATAGTATAGTCCATATTATTATTTTGACAAGTGTTTCACAATGTTTTAGAAATTCTGTAGCGTTGCCAACTTCATTGACGTTTGTTGTGGGTAAACTACTCGAAAACCGATACCATGCAGATAATATAATATAGTCATGTTGAACAGAAACTTAATTCTTCCGTACGGTCTACATGGTAATCCGAAAATATCTGGGCGATATCTTATACATCTAAACTCAGAATACTACTGCCTTGCAACTTGTTTATCTCAATGGTTAGGTCGACAGTTGCCAGTAAAGTTGAGTGTGTGTAGTTGTCGTCACTTGTGTTAGAAGTCTGTGCAACCTTGGTTATTTCATAGTTGGTGAAATCTTGTTGTTATCGATTTCATTTTCATCAAGTTGATTCATCTTCCCCACAAGTGCTTGTTAAAAACAAAAAACAGGTGTGCTGTTCAGTGTTTCGATCTGTACTGCATTACTAGTGTAGGGTGTTTTCTTGGAATATAAACTATGTTTGCATTACAATAATCTGGTCAAAATTATCATGAAATCACTACCCGCGCATGTTCGAACCACTGAAGTAGTTCTGAAGTTGAGCAGATGCCACTGATGTTTCCACAGCTTTTCTAATATCATTCCACACTGCCTCGAAGTGAGCATCACTTACATGGCTGCCTAATTGTTTTCACGAAAAGCGAATGTAGTGCACAATGTTATGGGGCTTAAGTTAGTATGAAATAATAATCAGAAGCCCATGTAAACATTTGTTGTGCGAATAAAATATTTAGTGTAACTTCAATCATGAACTGGATTGGGAATAGAACTTGTAAATGAACAAACTATTTTTACGAATGCTTATTGTGAAATTCAAATCACTCTCTGATGTTGAACTTTCAATTTTTTTCTTTATAAGACAAATCTTTTTCGATGTTAACAGATGACTGTTGTCTAAAGTTGATCTCTTTAAGATATTCCGTTTGTATACATGTAGGCATGATTATTTCATATATTTGTCCAATGAAATGGTTTATAACATAAACGTTGTAATAAGAGCAAGAAATAAACGTCTAGAAAAACAAAACCCCATTCTATTTGGTAGTAATGAATACATTCAGTGAGATAAAACCCACGGGCGCAGAAAACTTATACAATATACAATAAAACTACATAGCGCAGAGAAAAATAATAAACTACACTATCAGTTAACCAAAAGGAACATAATCATAAATGAATCTTTTCAAAGTTATTGCTTTTATTATCGTATCTAGAAATTCAAACTAACATCAATATTTAGGAAAGTAAAACAATTAACCGCAAAAAAATAATGTAGATAACTACAAAACTGACATCAGAACGTTTATTAGTGTAAAAAATGTCAGACTGCAGAGCGTAGATTCGCAAAGGAGTCTCTCTCTCTGTGTGTGTGTGTGAGAGAGAGAGAGAGAGAGAAATAATATAATGGAGTACTTACATACAAATTCATTTTATTGTTTATTGTTTCTAAAAAGAAAGTAACTAAAGAACATCAAACGATAATCTGTTATTTATTAAAAGTAAATCACTCCAGTGGTAACGCATTTTATTCCACGGTCATTTTTAAAATGTTAACATCACAGAAAACATCAGAGGCATATTATCACAGTTACATACACTTCACGATAAATTAATTAGACCATGTTGTACAGAAGGTTTCTGGTTATTACCGTAATATTCATCCATCTCACCTTGTTCTCGAATATTATCTATTTCATACCGACGTTGTTCATCCTCCATATGTGCACAATATGAGTAGATGCCATACAACACGCGTAATACAGCACTGCTATCGCCTGCAACAATTTCTTCAAGTTTTGCTGGAGGTTCAACCATACCAGCTGCTTGAATAAGTTCAAAGGCTAGTTTCACATTTGATGTACACAATTCTTCTGTTGTTGGTGTTGGATGATATGCATGAAATGCTACAAAATAGCCATCAATAAGACCCATTAAATAGAATAAGTAAGACACCATCTGTAAACTAATGATCGTAGAATGAATAAAATGGGAACATTTCCTTCAGTTAATTATAAAACTAAAGAAAATAGATTCTACAAAACTGTGTAACTCGAAAACCAACCAGAGAGTCGTACAATACACTAAGTTAAATTTATTAGGTTACAGATACATGTATCATCTGTATAAAAAAACTTTGGTGTGAACCAATAACATCAGTCAATCAGTCAGTCAGTCGGCTACAACGTAGGACCAGGCACATATATGCATCGATTCAAGTTGCCATACCGCATTAGCACAGCAAGATGAACACCGGATTCATAGGAGTAGTTAAGTCAATAGTGGTAATATATGAAAGATTGCATATAAGGATATAGTACAGGAAGAAAGATTTAGTACATAGAAAGGAAGATATGAAGCGATTTTAATCTCTTAGTTTAAGGGAAGACAGACAGTGTATACACCGACGCCACTGTGATCGATTCTGAGCCATCTCAACAAGAGTCTACAACCGTTGGTTACGATAGTCACGTGGACCCTAACTGAGTAGTCTGCATCTACCAACATGGCTCAGACCAGATGTTAGTGTCTTCAAGCACCAATGCCACGTTTTGGTTTGGCCACCCCTAACTTTCTTCCAACCATCCCCAACACCCGTTAGCATTGCACGTCGTGGTAATCGGTGTTCAGGCACACTCAACACGTAGCCCAACCATCTCAGTCGATGAAGACTCACAACCTCATCAACTGATTTACCATACCCTATCTAACCTCACTGTTACTTACTCGGTGATACCAGCAGATGCAAGCAATATTTCTAAGACATCTGTTTACTCACTTATTTATTTAAACATATAAACATTAGTACAAGGAGGCACCAAGTAGATATGCGCCACACAAATCATTCGACTTGTGTGAGGGCTGGGATACTGCCCGGGTGCCCAAACCGAAGCAGGTGGTTTTCTTAGGGGACCACACCCCAGGCCAGCTGAACTGCTTTTTAAGGTGTTTCGCCGATCTTTCTAAACGTCTGGACTGGGAGCAGATGAGTGTCGTCTTTTTCCGAGATATTCTCACTTACATTTGACTTAGTAATTCCAGTTTCTTTTATTAATCTGTAAAGCTGTCTTGTGTTCCATATAGCCGCCGCCTTTTCCATCTCTTTTGCTTTCGTTGCCCACCACTGCTCACGGTCGTTCCTTAGACTTTTGCTTAACCTAGATCTGATTTGTTTTCGATCTTCATCGTGTTCAGAACCCGATGGGATGAGTTTACGAGAATCCATCAGTACAATAGACCTTGAAAGGAATCCATTGGTTTTTTGTAACCCTGTGGCCTAAATCACTAATAGATGTCACTGCTATTTCCACAGCTGCTTGTATATCTTTCCAAGCAACATCTGGGTCAGCCTCGTTTTCAGAACTACCTAAGTGTGACTTCAGTTGTTCCTGGAACCTACTTTTGATTTTCTCGTTACTCAATTCAGTTCTAATGGGTCCTTTTTGTGCGGCTTTTCTGCGTCCAGCGAAACGCAAGCAGACATATGTGAGGTTGAGAGCGAAGATTATCAGAAAGCTGAAATAATGAACTGGTCGTCGTGTCAGTTGACTAAATCTTCAGTAAGTAATGCTAAATAATTGTTCAGTTGTTACATGTCGGTAAATGTATTGTGATGAGTGTTTATAAAACACGATAGTAGGCAGAGCTTCAACGACAAACCATCAGATTGTGAACCAACCTGTTAAAATCTGAAGAGTGGTAGGTTTCTGAGAATACCAGTCAGTCATAAATGTAGAACCTGTACGTATGTGCATCTGTTCAAGTTGTCATACCTCATTAACACAGAGATAAATTTGTCAGGCCAAATCTCATGATAGTACAGGCAGTAACAGTAACAGTGGGAATAGAAAAAACTAAGCGTCGAACAGACGACCTAAACAGAAAATCTAAATAAGCGCAATATAAACAAAAATATGTTATGAGGAATGTAGAGTTTCATTATGTGGGGGAAGACAAAAAATAGATGCACATGCGCCATTCCAAACAATTTTGAGCCATGTCATTCAAAATCTGACCATTGGTTACGATTATCACGCGGACCACAACCAGGTAATCTATACTTGCTAACATGGCTAAGTCCAATTGTCAGTAACATCACGTACTGATGCCATGTTTTGGCTCGGTCGCCCCTATCTTTCTTCTAGCTAGCAACTGCTGCACCAGAAAACATCACTCGTCGAGGTAAACGGTGGTTGGGTATACGTAACACATCCCAACCACCTCAGTTGATGAGGACTTACTACCTCACCAGTCGGTTCCCTATCCTCACCTGGCACTCTATTCTTAACCCAGACATTGCTTACTCCGTGGTTGCAAAGCAAAATACACGGACAATGCTTCGTAGACACCTATAACCAAATGCCAGTGACCCACTAATATCCTTTACTCTTAATGGCCACGCTTCACATCCACAAACTATAACGGAGCGAACGGCTGCGCAATAAACCCGCCCTGTAAGATGACTTACCTACGCACCCTATTACTTCTAAACAACCCCTCACTTGTTTTGATAACGGAAAGTCGGCTGTCCTCCGATACCACAGACACATATCTACAAATAGACACCTATGAGCTCTTCCGCTGTGATCGAGTCACCAAGAAGGGTGGTGGTTGTCTCGTTTATGTATCAAAAAATTTGAGAGCGGAAATCTATAGCGACCACGTCCTCAGAAAACTTCCTGAATCGATACGGCTTACTGTGCACACTCATGAGTGTAAAATACTAATCAGATGCATATATCGAGCTCCAAACACTCCTAGTTCAACTGACACTATTATAAGTGAGTCATTTGCTCAGGCTGCCTCGCTTGACTTCACTTACAAAATTGTATGTGGTGATTTCAACCTTCCCACCATCAACTGGAAAACACATTCTGGCCCATTGTGCTTTGAAAGCATACTTAGGTCCTTAGACATACACGGCTGGCAACAACATGCACACCTGCCTACACGAAATCACAACATTCTTGACTTGATATTCTGTCATAATGTCACACCAACATCAATGGTGGTTGGCGAAAAGTTTCACAACAGCGATCATAAAATAGTCCTCTGCACCCTTCCGATTCTTGCCATATGCAACAAATTAAAGACATTAAACACGCGATTCCAATATAGAGACTATGCAAACGCTGACTGGGAAAACTTTCGATTTCTAATAAAGCACTCTGACTGGGGCAGTTTCTTTACCAGTAATAACCTCTTAGAAACATTAGAAATATTCAATATCACCACCAAATCTGCACTAGACACTACTATACCCTCTAAAATTGGTTTTAAAACAATTACTCCCTATGTAAACTAAAAGACTAGGTCTAAACTACGAAAACCGAAAAGGATGTACTAAATATCAAAAGACTTCAGTGCCCTGCACCAGATATACTCTGTACTTGACGGAGTACAAACTCAACACAACAAGCATAAACAGGTAGAGGAACGTACTGCGCTCGCTGCTGCATCTAAAGCCCAAGCCCTATGTCGTCTCCTCACGAAACGCATAAGAAAGAACACAGACCACAACATTCACTCCTTACTGCACGATGGAGTAACGTATAATGACCAAACCGTCATATGTGAACTATTAAGTGAATGGTTTCCTCACAATCGGAATACATCTGATGCTCCAGATATCGACATAAAGTGCACCGGCATAAACTATCTTAGTACCATAAACTTCGACATTTGAGGTATACATAACTACCTCTATGCCGATGACTTAAAAGTCATCTATAAAACTGACATTTGCGATTTACGCAGTACTATGCAAAGAATCCAACATGGACTCAACATGGTAGACAACTGGTGCAAACGCTGGAGGTTAGAGCTCAACACAGAGAAATGAGGCTGGTTATGTATAGGAGACACATCTCTTAAAATGAAACACTTAGCAATCACACACTGCCCAGACTGGCATCAGTAACTGACCTAGGGGTACATTACTCACACAGTCTTAATATCTCTGAACACATCTCAGCCAAAGCATCCAAAATGCGGAAATCCCTTGGATTTATTCTCCGTAATTTCTATCAAAATGAATCTAAAATCCTTCTTTACAACAACTATCCTACAATATACCCTTCTTAACGCTTATACTCTGATTGGCAAACTATACTTTATAGTATAGTCAACAGATGCACTGCATCGATGCTTTACCCACAGTCCATAGCTTGTAACTGCCTGATAAGCTTGTAAAATGGTACTAATAGAAATAGTGCTTTCCAACAGGTTGTGAAGCAGAGGATTGTGTGAGGTATGACGTATATACAAAAATAAGCCTAAATGAGCCTAACATTACAAAAGGAGGGAGGGTGGAGTTACTGACCAGCAAGCATTGATGGTGAGGGCGATAACTTCAATCCACCCGTGTTTGTGGGGACAGAACATTTTGTATGTATCAGGCTCCTCATGATTGAGAATAAGTCAGTCAATCTGTGATATAAATTGTCTTCCTACGCTCACCACTCAGACTCATGTTTCCAATATTATGCTGGATTAGCTATTCTACTAAGACAACCTATAACATGCTAACTAGAACTTTCATACTAGGACTGTGTAGCTGGCATCGGACAGACGAAAAAATAAAAAAAATTAGATAACAAAATATATAGTCATTAGTATTCTTAACACTTCACCCTCTATATACACACCCTCCTAATAAACCGCTTCCCTTGTACCAACCTTGACTTCCCTTCCTTCATGTGAGCTTACTCCAACTTGTTAAACGACACAACTCATTGTTCTTCATTAGTACATTCTCTAATATGGAGCCTCTGACTTCACTTCATTCTAACAAGACATAATATGAATTTATTCTAATTTATTATACCTCTGTCCGTTCTACTACACAATGTTAAGCAACGTTTGGCGTTCATATCCAAGTGCCTTGCTGCTCTTCTGTTTCTCTTTTTTCCTTCTTCTTCTTCAGAATCTTGCTCTGAGAGCACAGCTATGAAACTTCT